CAAGTGGTGACAGCTCGTGATTCGTGTGTCGGTAAATTAAGAGTTCTGTTTTATAATTCGACACGACTTCAGTCAAAGAACCGTGAAAAAAATAGCTGACATTACCGACTTGACGGATACCAAGAATTGCAGGAATATCAGCTGATTTAACAATGCAAACGCAACGAATGGAAACTTCATGAATTGCAATGATCTAGGTTCTAGTTCTGAATACAAATACAGGGAATCTCAAGAGGGCATGACTGAGACAACGATGGAACAGTGCAAGAGGCACATAGTGTATGTGGTATTGGCGAAACAGCTTACTATATCGACTAGCTAAATATTACACATGTTACCCCTTGCTTAGTTAAAAAACAGCAAGCGAAATTTAGAGAGAGATCTGTTTTAAATTTAAACAATTCAGACTTCCCCGTAGGATGAAGATACCAGCTATAAATGCCTTGGCTACTTTCCAACTCTAGCCAATGACTCATACCGAGATTCCCCTCAACTATCACACACCGATCAGTCTATTTGCATTCACGAAAGAGGGGGAAGTGAGATCGAAGAAGCAACTTTGACGTCAGCAACAAAGAGTATTAGATTATAACGGATACTTAAATTAAAGAACAGCCTGTAGAGGGCTCTGGTAATTTAATAAGATGCATCCATTGCTAGGCTGCGGGTGTGATAAACCGATGCAAAACACAGGAGGAATTTTTCTGCGTGAGTAGACAAGGCTTTGGTTAAGTTAGGCGCAAAAAAGTCAATCACGATGTACCTGATTGGAACCCTGTAAGAGAGTTGGACCATCGGTGCATCCAGCAAAGCAAGCCGAAAAGAAGATGGTGTTGCTTTTCACATGGCAGACAGGTTTCCAAACTGTGGGGTTGCAACCACAAAACTTGCAGCACTCCATGTTCCACGGTTCCACAAGTCTCGATGGATTAGAATATTTAATAGAGTTGGGCCTAGTGAGGGAAATATAAAACAGAATAACACATTTCTGTACAGACAAAAAAACATAAATAACTGAAATTAAAAAAATATAAGATCACTAAAGTGGAGTAGGAAAAAAATCAATGCCAACGAGGACATAACAACGTGAATCACGCAGTTTGGATTACTCAATAACTCGGGAGTTCCATGCAATACATCATTTTGTATGTCAGATAATTAAATACATAACAATAAGCACCGTGCAATAACTCATAAACACTACTGATGCTAAAATTTTCAAGACTATTCCGGCTTAGCAGCAAAAACTGAAATCAATACAACACAGCTTCTGATTAACTCGTTTTAATGGTTCAGTGTATTGCTTCTTAACAAAACGCCGAATTTTTCAATGACGGTCTGGTGTTGCAACAACATCTCGCCACTATCATGCCTTTTTAGGCATATGCGCGTTAAAATTACTGTCCTAATCGTGAATACTGTTGTCGAAGTACTTCACGTATTTAAAGCAGCATTTAGTTGATTCTCCTTCTGCACTTCGTAACTTGATTTAATTGTAGCCAGTGCCTTTTGTAGCGTGT